TATTTACTGCGTATGTATTACCAGCTAGATGAATTGAGAGGTTCCAAGTCTACGCAGCCTGAGGGGGTCTCAGCACACACCTGACCCACATCTAGAGCCTTGGTGTGCCCTTGTGCATGAAATCTGTATGTCCATCATCCTCCGAGTACATCCGTGAATTACCTGACTGCATTGCAAAGTCCTCAGTTCTCCTCATCGCAGGAATCTGTGCCCCCGAAAACAATCTCCGCGTCCCTGACTTGTACTAGTCACAGCATCGAACACTTGAATAGGAAGTTACTCAGAACCGCGTTTAGCTTTAAGGAAATGAAAGTATCTACAACGGAGACAATTTTTGCATTTCTGCAGATAGTACAGATTGTTTTTTCTGTTTTCTATATTTCCTTTACAAGTTGTGAAGTTTAGAGCAGTGGCTTTTGTACTTACACCTGAATGAGAGTAAGAATAATAATATCCTTAGAGTCAAATGCTTACCCAGTGTATTGTATCTATAGAGGAGCAGCATTGTCACCCTAGGATGGGACTACACAACTCCTCCATTTCCCTCATCTCAAACTCTAGACCAATGTTGGGCTTCCCGCTATGGGCGCAGGGTCCTCTGGGCATGGCATTCTCTATGACACCAATGCTCAGATTTGGACAATGAGCAATGATGTTTAATGTGCTTTTAAGTGGTTTCCTGTTACATTAATACCTACACTATATTGCCAAAAGTATTGGGACACCCTTCCAAATCATTGGATTCAGGTGTCCCGTGACATTTTCTGGCTACTAAATATTCCGCGGTCACCTGTTACTGGTATTATAACAAAGCGGAACCAACTGGGAACCAACTTGCGCACCAGTGCACAAAGCAAGCCCCATAAAGACACGGATGGGGGAGTTTGGGGGGGGAGGAACTTGACTGGCCGCACAGAGTCCTGACCTCAACCCCATAGAACACCTTTGGGATGAATTAGAGCGGAGACTGCGAGCCCCTCTCCCAACATCAGTACCTGACCTCACAAATGGTCCAACATTCCCATAGACACACTCCTAAACCTTGTGGACGCCTTCCCAGAAGAGGCGGAGCTGTTATAGGGGCAAAGGGCGGAGCCAACCCAATACTGAACCCTACGGACTAAGACTGGGGGGGCCATTAGAGTTCATGTGCGTGTAAAGGCGTCCCAATACTGTATTTGGTTTTGGCCCAAATATAGATAATGATGTCTTTTTTTTTATAGTGAGTTTTTAATACTACTTTTTCTTACTCGCACACATTGGTGAATTTGTCATCTCAGTCTCACGCTAGGGTGCTTTAGGGAAAACCCCCATTTTTTTAAGAACCTATCTCAAAGCACCCTTACATTTCTAAATTACCTGTTGGCTGATATCACCATAGCAGGGGGGGGGGGGCTGCATGCCTACTGCTTCCTTGCTATGGCGATACCAACCTGCATGCCTCTAGTGCCAGGTACGTCCCGATGCGCACGCATGCACGCTAATGTCCGTTTTCCTACGGTGCGAAAAACGGGACCACGCACATGCGCAATAGACCTGGATACCTTACAGGAAGTGAAGGAAATGTGGGGTGAAAAAAAAAGGCAAATGGAAACCAAACCGCTGCTTGTAAAAGTTCTATGATGGGTCCGTGAAGATTGCTGAAGCTGAGAAATGTACTATTTGGCCATTCCCTTTGGTGCATGCTGGTGCAATGCGTTAGGACAACCCATTTATCCAATAACACACCAGAAAGCACAAAAAAAGACCACGCACACTTTTTAGCAATGGAGCGCACCACAATGGAGGTTCAGACATTGCATGTCCATTGCCTTAGGCAGGGAGTGCATCTAAGTGCATGAAGCCTTTTGTTTTATATCTAAATACTTATAAATGACTCTAATTTAGCATTAAAGAAAACATCTCCAGCACGTCACCAAACACGGAGCCACGGTGAAATGAAGTTTGATGGAATGTTGTACACATCTCTAGTTATGATGAGTGCAGTCACTGGGGAGAATGTTCATGTTGCCGTAATAATAATAATTGCAGAGCTACTTCCTCTTTCTTTGTGGTGATGAAATTTCTTGAGAATTCTAAACAATGTATTTACGTATTAAAAGGAGAACTCTGAGGTCAGGGCTTTTCCCCATAGTTCTCCTCAGGGTAACGGGAGGACACAAACTAGCGTCCTCCCGTCACCCTAGGCTCAGTATATAGGGAGCTACAGCTCACGGGATACTGAGACGCCGCCGCCGGAGCGGATCCTGACAATTATGTCTGGATCCGCCCAGCTGCGTGAGTGACAGCTGGCTCCGCCTATCTAGAGCTGTACACGCCCCCTCCCCCGTCCGTTCCGCCAGTCAGCGCTGGAGGATCGGAGCGGGGAATCCAGCCCCTCCCCTGTCACGGCTCCCTGGCGTGACAGGAACGAGAAGTGAGCGAACGCCGGTACTGAGCCGACCTGTGACAGTCTCGTTGTCACAGGTTGGCTAGAACTATGAGGATGAGTGAAAAGCACTCACATCATAGTTGTCCTTTTAAGTGCAGCAGACACCTACAGTCCTGGAAGACTCAGATTATGCAGAATCTTACCGGGTAACGAGGAAAACTGATGATACAGAATCCCACCGGGCGATGAACAGAACTGGCCATAGAGAGTCCCTCTGGAGCAACTAGAAAAATGTATTTTCAGGGAGGTGCCCTTTGTCACCCCTGAAAAAAAATGGTGGTGTAACAAGGAAATGATGGCAGATAGCAAAGAAGCTATGCTTTCCCTGCTCTCTGCTGTTTGTTTTAGTGTTCTGACAGCGGCTGCCGTCAGGACAAAAAAAAAAACATGGCTATTGGACCTGATGGAGAACCAGTTGGATTCTCTATTTTTCCACCCCAGAGACCCAGGCTCAAATCCCTAAAAGCCACAAAACAGGCGCTGGGCAGACAAGCACCTGATACTTACATTGTATGCGCCGAGTATGAACAGTATTTCTGGCTCTTGTATCTGAAATAATACACTTTAATTTTATTTCATGATAAAACCAGGCTGGTCTCTCCCTCTTACATTGCAGCCTAGCTAAACTGCTAACGTGATATGCTGAGTGTCCATGCAATATGTCTGACTCTTGGCTTGATACGGCTCTGTAATTTTTATTGCATCATAACAACGGCCTCTTCTCTGGAATGTGGGGTTGTGCTTTCGAAGCATTTTTTTGTACTCTCAGCGTTGATATTTTATTTAGCCGTGCAGACATCTCAACTCTCCCGGGTGTTCCGGGAGTTTCCTTTTTTTTTTGCCTGACATTGGGGGCCGCCAGGAAAAAAAAAAACCAGCATAGAAACTAATAGCTAGATTGCTATTGGCTATTTCAATTTGCAATAGCCAATGGCAAACTAGCTACTGCACCCACCCACTGCTGCTGTAAATTGTAATTTTATGAGAATATAGACATATTCAAAAGACATTTATTGGTATTGAGCGCGGCACATATTATAGTTGTTTTAGTTCGTTTATCCAACTTGCTGTCTGATCAGCAACCAAATCACAATGGTGTCCAGAGACGTATTCAATGAAGAGCAGAAAAATAACGCATCGCAGTTGTCAGAGACCCTTCCTCCTCCCTCTTCCTCCACCTCCTCCCCCCTCCTCCCTCTTCCTCCACCTCCTCCCTCTTCCTCCCTCCTCCTCCCTCCACCACCTCCCCCCTCTACCTCCCCCCTTCTCAGTGCGCGGCAATCAGCATCAGGAGATTATGGGATCAAGTGGTGGCCACTGTTGAGGTGGTGGAAGCCATTGCTGTAGTTAGAGGTGATAAAGACGGGGTGGGGTATGTGGTCATTTAATCATGAGTTAGAGGGGCAGGAGAGGAGGGGCATGGAGGGTATGGCAGGGGTGGGAATAACAGAGGGGGAGGGGAAATGAGGATTTAAAAGGTCACTGGAGGGTTGGGGGAGCTGAAAGGCAAGACTGACTTTCTCAGCTGATAACGGGTAGAAGATCTCTTTATTTCTTCCATGAGTAAACCTCAAGGCTGAGTATGGACACTCTATCTAGAGGAACTACAAGTCCCAGCATAACCGGCAGCATTATTATGGAGTAGTAGATTGTATATGGCTGTAGACCCCTATGTACTCACTGTCCTGCTGATCTGCGGCATGTATTATCCTGGAAATGATCGTGTGTCTATTTGTCTTAATTTGCTTTTGATTATTACATTTCAATATTAATATAAAGTCAATACAGAGTTTGTTTTTACAATGCCCGCACTGCCCACCTGAGAGCCCCCACTGGCCACCTGAGACTCCGCACAGCCCTCCTGGGACCCCATACAGCCGTCCTGAGACAGCTTGTCAAAATGCCCTGTTTTTACAGGGGGTCGGGATCGGGGGGGGGGACGCAAAATTGCACCTTGCCCACCTTGACTACAATCCTAGCACCGGCCCTGCGAGGATCAGATTGCTTTGCCAGATCTTCGTTTTTGGGGATATGTGAGAAGGATTTTGATATTCGAGGTCTCAGTGTCTTACTTTGGAGTCTTGTCATAAGATGTTCCGTCCACCCATCTCCAGGTTCCATCCGCATCCGTTAGGCCGATCCACACGCCATTGACTTCTGAAATCCCGCGCAGAAAATTCTTCAGAAAGACAAAAGATGGAACTGATTAGGAGATGAATATGGCGGATTTGTGAAAAGTGTTTATTCCTGAAAGATTTTTCACATTAAAAGATGAGATGTACAGATAAAAGTTCCGATCAGTAGGCAGTCAAGAAGAAATCCTGTTGACAAAAGGTAGATAAAGCGAAATTGTGCGTTCCCATCACGTATTACAGACTTTTGTTTTCGTAGCATACATGTTTCCCCCGAAAATAAGACGCTGTCTTATATTTTTGTTGCCCCCAAAAAACACGCCGGGTCTTATTTTCAGGGGGTGTCTTTTTTTTTTTTCTAATGTGCAACAAAATGTACAACAATCCAAAGTTATCCGGTGTCCCTCCGCCTGTCACAGTAACCGCGCTATAGAGGAAGTATCGGCTAATGCGGTTCTGCTCCCTCCGCCGCCGCAGCCTTGCTTTCTACAGCGCCGGCATGCTTTGTCAGCAGGGACAGCGGTGCAGCAGTGGGGACATCTGACAGTGGACAGCGCGGTACAGTACGGTACCATTTACCGGTACACATTACAGTACAGTACCATGACATGACGCGGCGCCTTCAGGGGGACAGCAGTGGGGGAAGTCTGGTACTGGAGTGCTCCCTGTCACTGCGCCGGCCGGAGGGAGTCCCCTGTCATCCCCTTTAGACCCCATTCACACGTAGCGACATACCTTTTGCAGCGGATCCGCACGGCCGGGATAGCGCGACTTTCGGGGCGACGTTCCAGCGACGATCCTGCGACGGTAGCGCGACCTTCTCTGTCGGGCTCCATAGAAAAAAGGCAAAATCGCGAAAAAAGGGTCCGGTAGAAGCGACTTGCGACCGCGACGAGCGACGCGCCACATGGAGTTAAGACAGCTCCATTGAATAGCATTGGCCGGCGACTTCTCGCGATATCGCGTGGCAAAAATGCGCAATATCGCGGCGGAAATCGCGCGATAATTCGCTACATGTGAACGGGGCCTAATACAGTATGTCCCTGCAGGCCGACACCATCTCTCCTGCAAGTTCCCCCTCACAGGCTACCACCAAACTAGGTCTTATTTTCGGGGTAGGTCTTATATTACAGGAATCTTGAAAAATAGTCCTAGGTCTTACTTTCAGGGTAGGTCTTATTTTCGGGGAAACAGGGGTATTGTTCTTACACCCAACATGTCTTCGGTTGCGCCTGGAAGCAATACAGTTTAATCCTCCTGTCCCATCTCACTCCTGACCGGACACAAAAACCCAAATCCAACTGGGTGGGTGCGGTGGTGACAACGGAGGCCTCCGTGAAATGTAGATAGATTCAAGTAGTCACTCGCACTGCGTGATATTAAAGTCAATGCTGTTTATTGACTGTGATAACGCACGTCTCCTTCGCGACGTTTTCGAGACCATGCGGTCCCGTCCTCAGTCTGCCTGAGGACGGGACCGCATGGAGGGCGAGTGACTACTTTAATGTATCTGGAAGCAATACAGTATCTACACTTCTGACAGGAAACAGTACCGGGCGCCTCCACCTGCAATATCGGCCAGTTGCAATGATAACGAACACACACTGAAGAGGAAGCTCCCACAGGTCGAGAAGACCGTCAATCTGAGACACAAAAAAACTTGCAATAATATTAACACTCGGCTACTGTATCTATTTCCATGTATATTATACATCTTCCGCGTAACTCATTTCTTTCATCGAGGACGTCATTTGTATCAATGGAAATTATAACTGGGTTTCATTTGTGGTCAGAGTTACTTAGGCTTCCGAAGTCTTCATAACCCCCTACTGATACCAACCTGATGTGTGCCATGATTTTATGGTCAGCGTGCCAAATAAGGGGGCACGCTCTAGTGAAATGATAGAACCTGGGGAAGGGCGGGAGGGTCAAGCGCGACCTCGCCGTGACGTGCCTGGGACCTCCCTGTCCCCCTTCTTAAGGGGAGGAGAGCCGCCGCAACTCCTCCCACAAACACGGCCAACTTACCTTGGCCTATTACTTGTCTACAAAAGCAATACTGATGCCATCCATTGCCAGTCACACTGTTTAGAGGCCGTTTTTTTAATGTCAGTTCAAATGTCTATTTTTAATTGTGTGGAATACATGTTGATACAGTCTGCACAACTATTATGAATATGCTCAGCGACCTGCGCGTTATCACACATGTTTGCCATCCCTTGAGCGGCTTTATTAAAGGAGAACTATGGGGTCGGGGCTTTTCCCCATAGTTCTCATTAGGGAGGACACAAACTAGCGCCCTCCCGTCACCCTAGGCTCAGTATATAGGGAGCTGCAGCTCGCGGTATACCGCCGCAGCTGAAGCGGATCCCGACAATTACGTCTGGATCCGCCCAGCTGCGTGAATGACAGCTGTCTCTGCCTATCTAGAGGCTGTACCCGCCCCCTCCCCCGTCCGTTCCGCCAGTCAGCGCTGGAGGATCGGAGCGGGGAGGGGGGAATCCAGCCCCTCCCCTGTCATGGCAGAGAGCCGTGGCAGGATCGAGAAGTGAGCGAACGCCGGTATGTGTTCCCTCACCTACCGATCTACTGAGCCGACCTGTGACAGTCTCATTGACACTCTGGCTTCAACATTTGGACTCATTGACCTGGAATAAGAGATCATGGAAGGATTCCAGTAGGTTAATGTAGCAGCCATCAAACAACCATTTTTAGAAGGAGGTCAGCAATGGCAGCTGCTATCTTTCTCTCATTACAAGTTTAATTAAAAAGAGTTTTCAGTTAATTTTCTTTTTTTTTTTGTCAGAATCTATAGAATTCTACACATGGTCCTCACTTATAAAGTCTGTGATTTTATTTTGGATTGTCACACACTGTCAAAGGTTGTTTTTACTGTCACAGAATTGTTTTTAGCTGAACAGAGGTACAGACATAGCCAACTACTGTCAGTTCTGTGTTACCTGCCAGAGGGCTGGCAAGGCAGGAGAGGTCATAGGTCTCCTGTACAATACTTGTCTGGAATTGATGAACCTTTTAGGAGGGCGGTGGTGGTGGATATCATTGGGGCCACTAGCCATCTCCTGCAGTTCAAATAAATTATACATCTGAACGGTGTTTGACTATGCCCAGGGTCATCTTTAATATTAAGTGGGCCCTGGGCAAGATTTTGCTGTTGGGCCCCCCACAACCCGCCCACCTCCATTACAATACTTGCCTGGAATTTAATAACCTTTTAACCTCCCAGGCGGTATGATTTTTTTCTTCCTTTTTTGGTTCTATTTTTTTTCTCTTCATTTTTTACCTTTGCATCTCATGCAGTGCAAATAAATGATACATCTGAACAGTAGCTGACTATGCCACCCGGGACACAGAGGCTGCGGCACCATCCTCTCTCGGGTAGACAAGGATGCTGATGCACTGTTGGGAATCTTTATGAGAGTTGGATTCCCTGGATAGCTCCTTAGTGATCAGTTTGTGTCACACCTGGTGTAGGCTTTAATACAGCTGACATCCACCCACAAATGATCAGGCTGATCCAGCATTTCAATGGAACTCTGAATCAAATGCTGAGGATGTTTGTGGCAGAGCCGTTGCTAGCTCTTCAGAAAATTGTGACACCCCCAATAGATGTGTGCGGTATGTGACATCATGTGCCCCGCCTCCAGGATGGCGGCACACATGCGCCTCCCCCCATACAGGTGGGGGAGAGCAGCGGGGATCTGAGGAGAAGCTGGAGCCTGTGCCGCTCCTCTTCTCCCTGCCAAGCCGCGGCTGTGTTGGCCGCCTGGCACCCCTGTTGCCAATGGC